TTTTATGGCTATTGAAATTGAAGCATCTTCATTTGCTAACTACTTTAATTATTTGAACTCATAGACAATAAACTTGGCATCCTTTTGGAAGCACACACACTTACACACACACACACACATGAACGAACTCAAGCTGATTGCCAAGATTGCGATTAGGACGAACAATTTTAAAGCCGCATGCGAATAACATTTATTTAATAACATTTACGCGTAATGTTGCCCATTTACGAAATTTGTCGTTGTCGCATTTTGGGCAATTCTTTGGGCTGGCATGGAAAGGGAGTTGGGGCTAGAGTTGGGGCCGGAGCTGGGGCACACACTTAAAATAGTTTTATTTCAATTAACAACAGAAATTCGATGAGTTTATTTGGTGCTGTTGCGTTTTATGCGAGACAAGATAAGAGCGATGGCGGCAGCAAAACATTTTATGCCCGGCTACGGTCCATGGGTCCAGCCAATGGGCACCAAATGAAAGGGGAGCGGCGCGGGGATGGGTTGGGGATGCGAGTGCGGATAGGCAAGGGGCTGAGGGCGAGAGAGAGAGAGAGAGAGAGGGATTGGGGTTGCGTGCTTAACTGCTGCACAGTAGCTCGTATAAAACCGAAATGTAGCTCTCTCACTGTATGCGTGTGTGTGTGTGTGTGCATGTGTGTGTGATAATGTTGACAGATAATAAACTCGGAAAATTACAAAATTACAATCAACTTATACAGAGCAAAAGAAAGGGATACACATAAAGAGAGGGAGAGAGAGAGAGATATAAATATAGAGGGAGAGAGAGAGAGAGAGCGCGCGCATAGTGGGACTATTGCAAAAATGTAACATGCATGGGGACGCTGCTAATGGCGCGCCATTGTCCTCTGGCCCGGCTCTGGGTATGCCCAATTTTATGAGTGGAGCGGCAGCCTTTCGGCTGCCTCATCGCCAGCATCGGCATCATCGGCCGGGGCCTTGGGCCTTGGCTTTGCGGGCCATTTTGGCGTCATGGCGAACGTAAATTTGCCACCACAAAACTATTCAATTGAAAGTTATTTACGTTTATTGTTTTATTTCATTGCCAGTTGGCAAACATTTGAAATGCCCCCAGCTCCGACTATGCAAACAACGCAAATATTTCAAAGTCGAAAGTTATGTGAGAGAGAGAGAGAGAGAGAAAGAGAGAGAGAGAGAGAGATAGACAAGTCGTATGTTGGTAAGATTCACTGATCAGCGCATAATTAAGCTCTCCTTATCTATCCCAGTTTATCTCTCTCTCATTCGCTCTCTCTGTCCCTCTCTCACTCTCTCGCTTTGAGCTTGGCGTGGAAGTCAGCTTTAAGCCCAGCCACACAATTGAGAGACGCTTTGATTTATGGCCAAATGCCATTAGGCCCGGGCTGCCCATCGATTAGCCATAGTTTGCCGAGCGCCGTGCTCGAAATCTATACTTCCGTTGTTAATCATTGACATCACTTAATGGCCCCTTCCGTTTTCCGACAACACACACACACACACACAGAGAGAGACAAATACATAGACAAGCTACCGTCGCCGTCGCATTCGCAGTCGCAGTCGCAGTCACAGTCAAGTGGCTCCGTGTTTCGGCGCATCGATGAGGGGCAAGCAGCGAACACGCCCTTCAATTACAAATCTATGCGAGCCGCCTCTCCTTTGACTTGCCTGCGCAGATAATCTGCTAAAGGACTTCCGCCCGGTGCGTGCGCTGCGTGCAAAAAAAAAAAGAAGAAGTAAAAGAAGAAGAAATATTTGAAGAATATAGAGGCAACAACTCAATGGGCCAGGCACAGTGGGCACACTGAATATTTGTATTGACTTTAGAGTTATAGTACATATTAAGCATATACAACTGCGGTCAATTTTTAATACCAACGGGTTAATAAATATTTAATAGATAATTAATTTACAATATATATGAATCTTAATATATGGATATAATATATCATAATTATTAATCATATTATTCTATTCACATTGCTTTTAAAATACTGAATTTGCCATTAAATTTTTTGAGTCCAACAATGGTACTACTACTAATATTATTTCTTACCTCGGGTGTATATAAAAAATACCAGAGATGCCTTATAAGCTAAATACATATATTAAAATATCAAACACTAAAATTTAATTATAATTA